TTTTCTTCCCAACATCAGGAAAGTTTTCTGTTATTATTTCTTCAAACAGGTTTTCTATTCCTTGTTCTGCTTCCTCTCCTTCTGGTACCCCTATTATGTAGATGTTGTTTCATTTCGTGTTGTCCCAAAGCTCTCTTAGGCTCTCCTCCTGCTTTTTAAATTTTCTTTCCAGTTGTTGCTGTGTTTGTGTGGTTTTTTCTACCTTGTCTTGTAGCTCACTGATGTGGTCCTCTGCTTCTACTACTCTACTGTTGAAGCCTTCCATTGTGTTCTTTATTGCAGCTATGTCATTCTTCATCTCCTCTTGATTCCTTTTGACCATTACTCTGAATTCCTTCTCTGTCCAGTTACTTGCCTCCATTTCATTTAATTCTTTTTCTGGTAATTCACCTTTTTCTTTCCTTTGGGTATTGGGTTGTTGTTGTTTTTTTGTCTCCCCATTTTTTTGCTGTATTGTTTTAATTGTATGTCTTTGGGTATTGGGTTTTTTTTGTCTCCCCATTTTTTGCTGTATTGTTTTAATTGTATGTCTTAGATCCAACTGTTTTGCTATCCAGATTCTTTTGGGGGTGGTTCTACGTAGTTGGTTATTTTTGGGACCCAGTGGTGCAGTCTCTCAGATCCCCTGGGCTTGGTGATCTAGTGGAGCCCCCTACTTGTGCTATTTAGGATCTTCTGAGGTAGTTGGGTTTTGAAGGTTGATTTCTCATTTGTGGATGAAGTCACGCCACGGATTGTCTGGCAATGTGACTCACCCCCGGTTTCGTTGTGTAAGCTTTTGTGGATGTGATAGTGGTTCCGGCTTTTATGGAAAGGGTTGTCTGAGGTCTCACTGGTATATGTTCACTGTGATTTCCTGGAGTCCATGGCCTGGGAAGAAGGTGTCTTGGGGCCTGAGGCTCAGGTACTGTGACTTTGGCCAGTGTTGTGTGACTCTTGCTGAGGTAGCGTCACTCTGCAATTCACTATGAGGTCCCAGAGCCTGTGACCATGGGTAGCAGTTGTCCCATAGTCTGCAGTTGAGGCAGTGGGACTCTGGCCCATGTGATTTCCCTCTGAGAATCACGAGGGGGTCCAGGAGCCAGCAGCTGGAGATGTGGGAGTCTTAGTGTCTGTGGCTGAAGCCGTGTGACCTTGTCCAGGGAGGCAAGTCCTCAGTAACTCACCGTGTCCAGAGCAGGCAGGCGGGAGGGGGAAGTCGTGGAGGGGGCTGTGGGCCCTTGGTTGGGGAGGCACATGCCCAGTGGCAGCTCTCAGAGGGGCCCAGGGGCCCAGGAGCTATCTGCCAGCTCCTGGAGCCCACACGCTGGAGCGGCACGATTGTGGCGTATTGTGGTGTCCAGACGCCGGGGAGGGGGAAGTCCCAGTTTCTGATTCATTAGCAGTGCATCCTTGGTTGGGTATGCGCGTGCCCAGCAGTGGCTTACAGAGTCACCCAGGAGCTGTCCGCTGGGGCAGTGGGCTCAGGGGGCCTGCATGCTGGAGCGGTGCACCGTGGAGACCGTATGCTGGCAGCCGGGGAGGTGCAAGATCCAGCTTCTGCTGCAGGAGCCCTGCGCCCTTGGTTGGGTATGCTTTTGCCTTGCAGGGGTTCACAGAGGCACCGGGAGCTTCCTGCCGAGGCGGTGGGCTAGGGTGGCACGCGCGCTTGTGCAGCACAACTGTGTTGTCTGTGAGCTGGCAGCTGGGGAGGGGGAAGTCCGAGTTTTTGCTACAGGGGCCGTGTGCCCTTGGTTGGATGCCTGTGTGCCCACAAGCAGCTCCCAGAGGCACCAGGAAGCCGCCTGCCGGGACGGGGAGTCAGGGGGCCCCACGTGCGCTGGTTCAGTGTGACTGTGGTGTCCAGAGGTTGGCAGCCAGCACGGGGTAAGTCCGAGTTTTTGCTACAGGGGACGTGCACCCTTAGTTGGATGCACACGCGCCCAGGGGCAGCTCCCAGAAGCACTGGGAAGCCGCCTGCCAGGGCGGGGAGTGAGTGGGCCCCGTGCGTGCTGGTTCGGCACGACTGCAGTGTCTGGAGGTTGGCAGCCGGGGCAGGGAAGTCCCACTTACTGATGTGGGAGCCGTGTACCCTTGGAAGTGGACGTCCTAAGGTCTGCAAGTCTGCATGCAGGCCAGGCAGCAGGACTATCTTTGGCTGGTGTGGCTGCAGGGTCCTGAGCAGTGTCCAAGGCCAGTCTGGGTGATGGTGATGATGAGTTCCTAGAGGATGCCGCTCTCCCCTTCAATATGGTGTGGGCTCCGTGCCCGAACCCAGCAGCCCAGGTAGTGCCTGCAATGATGGCAGGGGCTCCCCATCCAGGAGAGCCTGGTCTGCCAGCCCCTGATACTCCTGCAGGATCTAACTGTCCCTCACTCACACCCACACCACACATATCCACACACTCCCCTTTCACCCGCTCACTCACTCACACCCTCTCCCGCACCTCCGTCCTGCCAGCTGCCATCTTTTTCCCACTCTAGATTCTTAAGAAAACAATCTACCAATATTGATCAAGAGCCATAAAAGTGGTCTTGCTTTTATTTATTTATTTATTTTTTGTCTTGCTATTTTATGTCTGGGAATATATTCTAAACACATTCCTGAGAGGTAGAAAAAAAATGTCCTTTATAAACATGTTCCTTACAGTACTTTTGATGACAGAAAATTATAAATAACTAAATATCCATTGTCATGATATGTGATCAGTATAAAAACAATATCACTATATAAGAAGGTCATTCATGAAATGAACTATGTTTATATGACTATAACTGTTTAATACAGATGTAAACACGGAAATGTAAAAATTGTGGCAGACTGTAAGAAATGGTAGGTTTTCTTCCCTTTGAGTTTCTTTAATATTGCCATACACTCAGGGGAAAAATCTAAATTTATCCTGTCTAAATATAAAAATGTATATATCAAAGTTACATAGATATAAATACAGATAACAACTTAAAAAAAAAATTTGTTTACAATAAACAGCAAAGTTCAAACTGAAAAGGTTTTCAGATTGCAATATAAAGTTTGAATATATGAGCTCTTCTACCGGAAGGACAGTCATTGTTTCTAGCAGTTGGCTGAGATCCCTATTGCTCTGAGGCACTAAGATATGGCCAGTGGGTTAACTGTGATTCTAGGGTGGTGATGGGTGGATTCCATGCACCGTGCCCTCCCACACTGAGACAAGACGCTGCTTCTCAGGACATCTACGCTGAGCCTGGCCCTGGCCCCACGCACGGCCCTCCCAGTCCGCACATGGCTGTCCCCCATGAACAGGATGCTTAGTGGCCCACAGATGAGCCTCTCTGCCATTCTGATACTGGCTGCGGGTTTCTTAAATAACGTCAACGTAGAAGACTGTGGGTTATGTTGTGTGAAAAGTTTATTTTAAAAGTCTTTTCGAAACTATTAACTCCTCTCTAAAATTAGCTTCCTCCCATCAGAGAGCATTTTCACAAAAGAAAACAATCTGAAGCTAAAATCTACATGAAAGTCGCACCTGGCTCTCCCAGCTCTCTTGCCAAGATGGAGATGCAAATTACTCTCTGTGAGGTTTGTGGTTTCCCATGTTACTTAAATTAGACAAGCCTCTGGTCAACTTATTCAATGCCGCATTCCAGCATTCTTCACCATATACTCATAGACTATAAGATGCGAGATACAGGTGCACGTAGGAGGCACCAAAGTCCCCTGAGCCTCTGGGGACTGACAGTTGGCACTGAACTTGAAGGGACACATCATGAAGGACCACACAGACACCCTGGAAAATGACAGCAGTAGCAGCTGAGCCCCCCCAAAGACTGGAATCGCACATGAGCACAAACAACCTTTAAGTCTGTGAACACCTATCTGATACAATAAAGTAGTCTAAGTTAAGTGTTTAAATTGAAACCACATTCAAAGACTTCGGCGGCTCTTAAAATTTTTCGTCAGAAACATCCAGCATGGGAATACTGGCCACCTTTCCAGTCCCTCACCAATACAACACCACAGACCACCAAGGTCCCCGAGCCCCTGAGGACTGAGCAGTCAGCACCACACTCGAAGGGACACGTAAAGAATGATTTACAATCACAATGACTCATAAAAAAATTAAGACTCCCAACGTCAAAGAGGAGAGGATTGTAAATGTTTTTCAGTAAGTAAACTTCTACACACAGCAATGTCTTTAAAAAATACCTCAGAAATCACCCAGTTTCCACAACTTCCTGATATTGCCCTTAGTGTATGGAGGAAATTAAGACACTAAAAGTTTTAAGAGTATTAAGTTACAATATCAGCAAAGCCAGTAACATCTTACGGACTGAGGGTTGAGAAAAGGAAGGATTCACACTCTGGGATACTTGTTGAAGCTAGGGATGGGCACAGGGGACCATCCTTCATTACACTCCTCATCACTCAGACATCATTCACTAGACCAGCGATTTTCAACCTTTTTCATCTCGTGGCACACATAACTAACTACCGGGAGAGTCAGCTATTGCATGTTTTAAAAATTCTTGCGGCACACGGGTTGGACATCACGGCACTAGACTCTTCTTTCTATTTTTGTACGTGTTTGAATATTTCCATAATAAAAAATTTTTTAAAAGTTAATCTTTTCCACTTACATAAGGTACTTAGAGTTAAAAACATAGAGACAAAAAGTAGAATGGTGGTTGCCAGGAGCTGGGGGAAGGGGGTTGGGGAGTTAGTGTTTAATTGTACAGAGTTTCCGTCTTAGAGATGAAGACAGTTTTGGAGAAGGATGGTGGTGATTTTTGCACAACATGATGAATGTATTTAATGCCATTAAACTGTACACTTAAAACAGTGAAGACAGTACATTTTTTATTGTGTTTTTTAACACAATAAAAAAATTTGAGAAGGAAAAAAAGTTAATCTTATATCAATGAGTCCTAAAAAACTAAAAAGTAGTCTCAAAATAGTATCCTTAACTTTTCACCTAAACTGGCCTCTTTATTACCCCAAAATGTAGGAAGAAAGAGAGGGAGGGAGCCCTCTGTGCACTCACGGCAGGCTCCTCGTTCAGTGTCTGCAGCATCCAGTTTTCCAGCGCCTGGAAGTCCCGGGGACCTTGGTATTTCACAGCTTCCTGGCCAGGCTTGAACAGCTTCAAGCTGAAAGGGGAACACAGGATTACAGCAGATTTTTAAAGCACTCCAAACTGCTCTGAGCAAAGAGCACCGTCATATCAGGGAGCAAGCTGGTTTAGGGAGGCAGCCAGGAAGTGAGTGATCAGTGGGCTGCAGCCAGGCAGTATCTGCCACTCTCTGATGAAACTTGCAAAGAAAAAAAAATAATCTAGGAGATGATATATTCATTTAATCCTATAGTTTTTAAAGTTTTATATTTTATTCAAGAAAAATAAAGCTGAGGTGGACACATCAAGCCCAAAGCTGTGACTTAAACCCCAGGCTGCAGGTGTTCACTTGTGCATAGCTCTCAAGCTTTCCCTGCCAGGGGTGTGCCATCCTTCCCAGCGTTAGTAGTTGTATGTCCTGCTTTTTCATATTTTTTAAAATGAGAACTGTAGTAGAAACAGCACTGTATTCCCAGGCTGCCGTGACAGCTCCTTGACTTACAAAGCATGAGCATCCAGGTGTAAGAACAACCTTGACAACGGCTGATGGTTACTCACTTCCCCACAGAGAAGGAATCTTTTCTTTTTTCTACAAATATTAGCCTCTGAAGAGATCTGCAGACAGAGCATGGAGCATTCCTTCAGAGGTGAGCAAAAGACATCGCCAGAGGCTCAAGTTAATGCTTCCAGACCCTGTATCATGCCGCCGGTCATGGGAAAACATGCTCGTGATAACACCTGGTAGTAGGTGTCAAGGAAGGAGGGGGCGGGATTAATTCTTCTATTGACAGAATTAGTAGAAGGCATCAAGGACGGAGGGGGAAATGTAGCTACTGACAGAAAAATACACAGACAGGCCTTTTTTGGCAAGCCTGCTCACCTGAAACACCCCTTACATTCTACAGCATGCACCTGGAGTTCGTTAGCAGATGCCCAAAATGCAGTGTCAGAATGTAAGATGTGCAGCGATCAGAACTGTGGGTTTGACCAGCTACCTCCCCAAATGACTTAAAATGAAGTTCCACAGCTACACCAGAAAACCAACACATTGGCTGCAGGAGGTCTTTACATTAAAACAGGCTTAATGGCCTCACCCAGAAGCTAAGATCCTGCGATGGGCTTAGCTGACTTTCCTAATGTGCCTCCAACAAAGAATATTCATGCCACTTCCTCAGCAGCTTACACTTTTACAACCATAACAAAAAGCCGAAATCTAACTAGATTTGGCCAGTATGCCTGTGATTCCTGAAGTTTAGCATTGTAAGCAACTCCAAAGTATGATTTCACAATTAAGAATACGCTGCTGTAAAAAAGAAAGAACTCAGCCCTAGCCGGTTTGGCTCCGTGGATAGAGTATCGGCCTGCGGATTGAAGGATCCGGGTTCAATTCCGGCCAAGGGCACATGTGTGCAGAAGGCAGCCAATCAATGCTTCTCTCTCATCATTGATGTTTCTATCTCTCTCTCCCTCTCCCTTCCTCTCTGAAATCAATAAAAAAAAATGTATATTTAAAAAAAAAGAAAAGAAAGAACTCTTACCATTTGCAACAGCATGGATGGACCTGGAGAACATTACGCTAAGCGAAATAAGCCAGTCGGAGAAAGAAAAATATCACACGATCTCACTCATTTGTGAAATATAATGAACAACATAAACTGATGAACAAAAATACATCCAGAGACAGAGAAGCATTGAACAGACCGTCAATCTTCAGAGGGAAGGCAGGGGAGGGAAGGGGGGTAAGAGATCAATCAAAGGACATGTATGCATGCATATAAACATAACCAATGGACACAGATACTAGGGGGGTGAGGGAATGTGCCGGGGGGTGGCCAATGGGGAAAAAGGGAGACATATGTAATACTACATGTAATACTTAAACAATAATTTTAAAAAAGAAGAAGAAGAAAAGAATGCCCAGACCCACCGCTGGGACCATATAAAGCTCTGGAAACATGTGCTTGGCCCAGAGAACTAGAAGATGCTACTGTCCCCTCCACCTCCCTTCTCCCTTCCAAGCATCTCTCTCCAAAGAGCTTCAGGATCCTCAAATATCAGAAAGGACAAGGCGTTGTCAAACGCATTCCCCATTTCTTTGCTAACTTTAAAAATCAGTAAAACCCAACCTGTGATATTTTCCCAACGTGGTGTGCTTTGAGCAAAAACAAAATAAGCACTTTTTAAAAATCTCTTCTTGATGGACTGAAAACTTCTCTGCCTGCCCAAGTCTGAGATTCTTCCTAAAATCCATAGAGCCTAAGAATAAAATTAGAGCTTCCTCCACAGACTTTTCAGTCGGACTTCAATTCTCACTGTGGAGGGACAGAGAGCCGCAGGGTACAAGACCAAACTGTTCTGCTACCACCGACCTCCAAATGGGCATTTGGGAGTTTGGGTGATCTATTTCTTTTTCAAGGAGACTGTCGGGGAGCAAATTTATGGGTCACTGTGGAAAACAATGTGACGAAAGTTCTGCTACAAGCAATGAGATAGTGCTATGGACTGAACTGTGTCTCCCAAATCAGATCTGTTGCAGTCCTAACCACAGTACCTGTGAATGCGGCCTTACGTAGAAAGGGGATTTTTACGGAGGTAAGTTAAACTGAGGCTAATAGGGTGAGTTCTCATTTACTATGACTGTGTGCTTATGAAAAGGAGAAATTTGGACACAGAGAGAGAAGGCCACGTGAAGATGGAGAACTGGAGGGATGCGTCTACACGCCAAGGAACACCAAAGATTGTTAGCAAACCCCCAGAAGCAGGGAAGAGGCAAGTAGGCTTTCCTGATAGGTTTTGAGGGAGCATGGCCCTGCTGATGCCTTGATTTTGTGCTGCTGGCCTCCAGAACTGAGAATAAATGTCTGTTCTTTTCAACCAGCAGTTTGTGGCACTCTGTTACGGCAGCCCTAGGAACCTCTTTCAGCCCTGCCCCCGCTCACGTTCTCCCAGATGACGAAGGTTATTTTCTGGCTCCACAGGAGGACCTCAACACTTTCCTGAGCACAGTCAGCCACCTGCAGGGGCACGGGAACTCAATGCCTCCCTCACCAATCCTCGCCTCCAGTCACAGGGGCCAGGAAGAATGACACAAAAGCAGATGTACCAACACACACACCCCACGCTCAGGTGTTGACATCCGCTATCCGATTCAGGCCCTGCAACATCTCTATGAGATGAGGACCATTTTAGAGGGAGTAAAAGCTCAACAGGTAACCTATGAACACCCTCCTGCGACTACATCTTATGCAACACATCTGCCTCCTGCCTTCAATGAAACAAATCTCTCCCCAGGCACCTGTGTGTGATGGGCACGCAAGGTCCTTCCCAAATCACATCCGGCATAGTGTAAGCTCACTTTACCTTTTTTTCAACACAAAACCAGTGCATGGTTTTATCTGGGAGACCTTATATTCTTAATAATGTTGGACACATGATCCAACACGGATCTTTTAAAATCTGTGAAGAGCGTTGCAGACAGATAGCTCATATAGTCAAGTCCAGGTGGAACCTCTACTCCCCTCTCTGCTGCCCCTACTGTGCGCCCTCTCAGCCCTGTGACAGCTCCTGTTGTTTCGCCTTCCCTGTGGCATGGTTGGTGGTGCACACAGCCACATGGCCACAGATGGCCAGCTGTTTAAGAGTGGCCACCACAGTCAACCATCTCTGCGGCCCCTGCACTTTGCAGTCACAGGCTCTCAAATAAGTGAGCATCCATCTCCTCTCCTGCTCCCATGACTCAGTGACCGCTTCTCTGGGACACTCCATCCCAGCAGAGTTTACGTTAAAGGCAATGTGATGACGCACAGGACACTGGTGCCTTTAGGCAGGTACACATGGTGGGAAGTTTTATCTCTATTTGACCTGACTTGATGCAGACTTGAACTACGGCACTTAGATTAGCGAGCATTCACCAAAGACCAAGAATTCCAGAGTCCTATCTGGAAGTGCCGAATTTCCAAATGTTAGGGGAAACCTAACATTTGCTGGGTATGCTCAGAACGGTGTTTGCACACATGCTATTTCATAACAATGTTCAGGGGGTGGGGTGAGTCTCAGTGTCCTACTTTTGACTCAGAAGTTAACCAGTGCGGCCAGAGTTACACGATAACTAGATGGTGGAGCTGGGATTCAACCCTGGCTTCTAGGTTCCAGCCCAGAGCTCCTTCCACGTTTCCATCCTGACTCTCAGGTTGGGAGATACGCTCAGGTTTTAGATAGACTTTCCTTAACCCATCAATGTGAACAAGCATTTCTGGGGCTGCGGCAGCCAACGCCCCCGCCGTCCTCCTGGGAACAGCACCTTCCCTTTTTTGGAGAAATGCTCTCCACTGCCGTGTGGTCTGAATGGGGCTGCTGTTTTCCTGCGAGATCCTGCCTCTCTGGCCACAAGACTGTTTCCGGAATGAACACCCGTCTAAGCTGGGCCAGTGAGTGGTGGGCCAAGTCCACCTGGCAACAGAGACACAGAGCCAGAAGGTAAAGACATCTTAAGGGAGACCCATAAAAACAGGCCCCCAAATCTTTGGAGCTGAGTCTCAGAGCTTCCCTCACAGCCTACTAATGAATCCCCTTCTTTATTAAGGCAGTTTCAATTTCTATTTCTTAAAACCAAAAAACCCTTTTAACTGTCAAGGGAGGAAGTCATGTTCCTTGTCAGAAACACTGTATCCCACTTTGTTAACTTTCTGTCCAAAAGAAATAGCCTTGTGCTAGTCACATGGGAAATACTCTAGGAAGATGCTTAGAAATAAGAGTGATCAAAAATCAATACTAAATTGATGACAAAATCTGTACTCAATTGTGTAACGTCCTCGTGAACATCAAACATGACAGGACCTCATAGAGACCATCACTTTTATCTTGAAAACACATGTTCCTATAAACAGGAAAACCCAACACTGATTAATCAAAGGCTTTTTCCATAGAAGGTACAAAAAGACAACTAATATAGACCTGGTGTTAAATATAATCTTTCCTAACAACAGGGACTGCCTGCTTAAATTTAGCAGCCCCTCATGCCTCAGAACTATACAGGAAGGTACCAAAAATGTAACTGGGGCTTTCTTTGGCCAAAGGCAACTGGCCAAAAGAAGTGGAAAACCTGGAAGATACGGGAAGCATGTGCCCTTCCCACTTACGTGGGGTATCCTCGCACCCCCTGCTCGGAGCACACGTCTGAGCTGGCCGTGCAGTCCACTTTAGCCACGTAGATTTTGGCATCTTCCATGCTGTTGTACTTGTCTCCCAGTTCATTCCAAGTAGGCTGCAGCCGCTGGCAGTGCCCACACCTATAACAAGGTAAGAGTAACAAGTGTGCTGAGTGTACGGTCAGAGGATGCCCACCCCACCCCCACACCCCCGCGTTCAGCCATTTCCACGGGGCAATGGGCTCTAGGATCCCTTCTTTACACCACAGCAGAGATGGGTTAGCTCACTATCAGTCCAAAACCTCACTCCCCTGCTTACAACCCACCCATCTGAAAGTCCCTGCAGTGTTCTTATCATGACATCCAAATTTAGCAAGGTACTGTGCTAGGTCCTCCTTGAGGTGCCCCTACTGACCTTCCCCCTCACCTCTGTGCCCCAGCTGCCTCCTTCCCTTGCAGTCTCCCCCTGTACTACACTGCAGTATCTCCAGTTTTCTGAAAGGGCCAGAGCCTGGCTTGCCCTGGAATCACTACATGCGCTCTAACACTTCCTCCCTAAACCCACCTAGCTCCGTGGTCGGCAAACTGGCTCACGAGCCACATGCGACTCTTTGGCCCCTTGAGTGTGGCTCTTCCTAAGCCTTAGGAGTACCCTAATTAAGTTAATAACAATGTACCTACCTATATAGTTTAAGTTTAAAAAATTTGGCTCTCAAAAGAAATTTCAATCGTTGTACTGTTGATATTTGACTAATGAGGTTGCCGACCACTGACCTAGCGAATTGCTGTTTGCTCTTCAGGTTTAGTTCAGGTCACTTCCTCCAGCCCTGACTTCTCAGGCTATTTGGTGCCCATTCTCTTCTCTTCCTCTACGGATGCAGCTTAGCACTTTTTGCTATAATTGTCCCATTATTATTTAGTCAGGTCTCCTCTACCACATACCCAATATCTGCAAATGCAAGGCTGCCCCAAAATTAAATCAATTCTGCATACTCTCCAATGAGAAGCTTTAAAAAAGTTTGAGTCCACTCACACTTCTAAATTTGATATAATCAAATGTATGCTTATAATAATCGTTGTATGAATTTAACTACAGATATTTTTAACCGATCATTTAAAATAATGTTAACTTGGAATTATTGCTTCGTGCTGTTCTTTACATGTCTTAACAGTATCAGCATCTTTCCCATCAACTAAATCTATTGTCATATAGCTGATCTTCTTTATTGACTGCTGTCTGCAGGGCCATGATTGAATTCTAGAAACTTTATCTCAAGCTTCAAGCACAGTCATGTATCATTAGGGCACATGGTACTTTCCCCCCATTCATCTACTAAGTGTGTATGTATGATGTCTACAATGTAACTGCTTGCTGTGCTGCTTTCTAAGTGATCTTTAATGCTTTGAGGATGCTTGCTTATCCTCAAAATAATTTCTCAATAAAATAATTTCTCTTCTTTTCTGACAGATGATCTCTATAATACACACCTAAAGGTAGCACAAAAAAAGTGTGCTTAAGCCAATGTATCTTCCCTAAGCAGCTCTTTCTTGGGCAGCTAAGAGAATCCCTGCTTTACAAGATATTCCAAAACAATATGATTCCCTCTTTTCTGAAAGATAATTGTGAGGGAATTATATCTATGTATATGTAGTAAAAGGGCCGGGACGACAGCATGATCCTTTTCACAGCTGTGTTCCCTGTATCTAGCACATGCCTGTGGTATACTTAAGTGTTTGGCAATTTCTCAGTGATAGATCCACGGGTGCCATGTAGTTAGCACTTCTAGCTTGGGACCCTTCTGGCTACAGCATGAACCTCTGAGACAGCAGCTGCATTCAGAAGGCGTCTTGTGGCCATGCAGCAGAGCAAAGCTACCTGGTCCTCCCAAGGGGGTGGCCCCAACCTTCACCTCGATGTCACCACCAGGTTTAGTGTGACCTGCAAACCAGCCCTACAGAAGATACTGGCACAAAATCTACAGCAGGGCTACCCTATATCTGTCAAGTTCAGAGCAAAAATACAAAGATCAGTGTTTTCACTGCAGGGTACCCCTGATCTCAAACCACATGTGGGCTTCCAGTATCCCACAGAAACTGAAACTGGAATGAGATGAGGGATTGGGGAGAACCCACTGCATATTCTACCTGAGGTCCAATCTGCTGTTAAAGTGTAACTTTTAAATGTCATCATAGAAAACCCCACATATCTGTTTAAATATTTTGTAGTAGACTATTCAGAAGCAAAATAATAACTTTGCCTTAGCTGGTATGGCTAAGTGGATAGAGTGTCAGCCTGTGGATTGAAGGGTCCCAGGTTCGATTCATCAAGGGCACATACCCAGGTTGCAGGCTCCATCCCCAGTGGGGGGCGTGCAGGAGGCAGCCATCAATGATTCTCTCTCATTGATCAATGATTCTCTCTCATCTCTCAATGATCTCTCTCTCCCTCTCTCTTCCTCTCTGAAATCAATAAAAAATATTATTTAAAAAAGAAAGGTTATTCCTAAAAAAAAAAAAAAAAGAAAACTTTAAGTTACTTTTTCTGGGGGCATCCACCTAAAAGATCATAAACCACATAAATGAAAAAATAATTTACTTAATAACAAGAGCTCAAATTTGCCAGTCTTCTCCCTCACTCAGTCCAGGACTAGCTGGTGAGTATTACAGATTCTCCAAAATTAAAACTCCATTCCATGCATTATTATGTCTAACTAGTTTTTTTTCTTCAAAAAAATAAAGAGAAAATAGAGACAGATTTATTCCACTGGAATTAGCTCCAATTAAGTATTGTACATAATTGAAATAGTTACTCTAAGAATACTCCTTCCCAAAGTAACTATTAATACTGAATAATTATTTTATGTACTTTTCTCTACCACAGTGGTTCTAAAAATCCAAGTCAGTTGGTTCTTGGGAACTTGAAACACTGTTAATACATGATAGCTGTGACTCAAACCCGCCCCCGAAAGTTGATTTAACTCCAAATAAACTGAATAAAATCCAGTAATAACTTGAATATGGGGAAAAAGGGAAAAAAGTTCCTCCAACTTCGCCAGCACATTTTCTGAATAGGCTGTTTTTCTTAGGCATCTTCCCTCTGTTCCTTCTTACATCCCTTTCCCACATCTCAATGAGCTTCTCCCCCACACTGGGGAAGGAGGCCAAATTCTGCAATAAAGCCTGCAAACTGCCTTGTGCCCAAACACTAGCTTTCTGCTCTGCCCCGTGAGAACTTCCCGTCACTGCGGCATCCAGGAAGAAAAACACCACCTGTGCCGGTGTGAATGACAGGAAGTCCTTCGCTAGGACAACTCCCAGGGTAGGGGTCTCTGAGCGTAGCCCCTGCCCCAGAACCACGGCAAGAGGTAGCGTCCTTCCTACGCGGCGAGTTCTGCCATCTCACACTTTTCTGGATGAGCAGGCCCCAAGAGAGCAGAGGGGAGGAGCCAGAAGACAGCCTTGAGCTGAGGGCCAGTGGGCTCCGGTCACAAGAGCACAGCCCCATCCACTGGAGCTGCGGGGGCGTCCCCGGGCGGCGCAGGAACCCTCTTCTGCCTGGGCCACCCTTCCCACCCTAGGAGCACACAAAGTAGGAATTCACACCTCTGTGAGTTCCTGTTTTCCCATTAAACCCTCAGGCAGACGATTAGCCCTGCGGCGAGTGCACAGAGTCCGCGCCGGGACCCCCGGTTGCCATTGGCCGCCGCACGTGGCCCCGGTCCCGCCGCTCCGTCAGGCCTCCGCCTCCGGCAGGCGCAGCAAGTTTGGGGCAGGGGACTGAGGGGTGCCACTAGGGTTCCAGCAGCCCCAAAGGTCCACGAGTGCCCTTCCCTGGCCGGGTCCAGGGACTGGGGGAGGGGCCTTGGGCAGGGGAGGGACGGCCTATTCCGGGCTCCCGGGTCGGGGACC